CATTTCTCACATTAACACGAAAGTTTCATTTTTAAAAGAGCTAGTCACACACAGGTATTGCTGATGGAGCATTTTTTAATTGCTTTTAAAGTAAACGGTCTATTCGTTTCATTCAAAAATCTTCAATACACTTTCGTACTGGAAGCTACACGACTGATAAAATTATTTTAATTTCCCTGTAGCCTAAATTGCATCACGTGAAAATGAAGGCAATCTCAGTCTCGCGCTCGAATTTTTGCTACCTCAAAAGGATTTTATACTTCCTTGAGAACTGTAAAACGAGATCAGGGTGAAAGAGGGAATTGTAAAAGATCTCCAGCACTTTTTTATCCGATGACTGAAAAATAATAAGATTCTTGGATCTTAAAAGACGATTTTTATTTCTGCGGGCCGCTGCTGTATTTTGATGTACAACGTGCCACCCTCTATCCACATCCATTAGAACTTTTCGCGCGCCTAATTCGATTGCCTTTTCTCACTCAATGCTGCCTGATCTCCCTGTGAATTCGGCTACATAATTCATGCCGTCAAGTATTTCCTAATCGTAAAGAATACTGCAATACTGTTTATTGTTATGAATTATCAACGTATTTTATAATTACTGAAATGACCCAGAAAACATCTGAGCGAGAATTTGTGAAAAATCTTAAATAATAAAGTCACTAGTTTATGAATTGAGTAAAGCTTCCAAAGGATAAAGCTCAGCACTTCTTTATGAATGCCTCCCTGAACTTTCGTTTCAGGACGAAGAAGAATGGTAGTGGCTACCAGACTGTTAGGCTGCATTTGATTGGTAAGGGTATCTAATAGCCAGTGCCAGATTTCAGAGAGTGTGTCTTGCAGGACCTCTGGATCTACTCGACGCATGGTAGACCCAGAAGATACATAATAGTATGGAGTCTACACACTGCCTTTTTTTATGCGCCTTCAGGGTGTGAACGGCCTACGCCATACATACCCTGCAGTTTACTATAGTAAGACCAATATTTATGATTGAGCGAAAACCAAACTTTCTTTGCTTTCAAAACATGCAAATTCACTTGAACATTAGAACACATCTTCAACTCGTTCCATTGTGATAACAGTTGCCATAAATACTCCATCGTTTTTACAGTGAAAATTCTTCAAAATTAAGGTTACTTTAAACCTTCGTTATATGAACAAAATGTCCCTATAATTAGTTAACTCCATTCTTCTTTGTTATACCTGTATGGTTTGCCATCTACAGAGAAATTCACAGAAGAAATAGTGCGATTATTATTGTTCAAAAGAGGGAAAACACTTGAAATTTGACAACTGTTTTCGTTCGTCCGGAGAAACTGACGAAATCGGTACTCACCGCAAGAGGTATACCGATATTTATTTCGGCATAAAAGTAAGATGTCGCGAAAGTTCCTTCCGAACTTTTCTCTAATGCCTCGAGCGTAACTTTCCTTTTTTCACCCTAAATTAATTTCGCCCCGAAGCAGAGCGTAAGCCCGTCAGCAGCGTTCTCGCTTTTTTGGAGCACGGAGCAGGTGCAAACCGTACGAAATGAGCTACGACTCATCTTTTTATGCAAAACTCCCGTGTAAAGGGAATGCTGTCAAGTTCCTTCGGTTCGGAGAAGTTTTAAATTCAGCGTTACCATTTCCACTTTAAAAAATCAAAAAATTCAAGGGTTCTAATTTATTGCTAGGGCGCTTGACACCTACGTTTATCGTATCAATGAGTCCGGAATGGTTTGAATGTGAGTGTTGCGGTTTGCGCTAAAACGTCCGAAAATAAAATCCCTGTCATCCTTACCATTTCCGTTTGAACAAAGCACTGGAGGATAGAAAGTTGAAAAGTTGAAAGAAGAAAAATTATATTCCAAAATTTATTGAAAGAGCATCCTTTACATTTTTATTCATGAGCCCTCTAGGAACCTCCAGGGATTTAGAGACCTAGAGATTTGTTAAAATGTGTTAGGTTGCTATAACGTCAAATTGAATAAAAAATACAAACATATAAAGCCATTTTTATAGCGCGCTCTCTGGCGTTCTGCGACACCTAGCCGCCAAAGTCCCCTATCCTCCCAAAGCCATTCAGGGAGTTAGTACATACCCTCATTTCACAAATGAATCACAAATCATGATCTAAAGACACCCACCATCAGAAAAACAACTAATCTGCTCTAAAATCACTCATTCTGTTTGGAAAACTTTTGAAAACTTACAAGGGAATATTCTCTCCGATTTTTTCCTCTAATTTTTCTTCAATTTCTGCCTCCTCTCAATCTTTTTTCCTTTCAATTTGGCCATACCTCCTTCCCATTTTGCTTCCTTTGATCTTTTTCTCTTCCGTATTTTTGAAATCATCCGATCACCTTCACTTCATCTGTCCAGAGAAAGTAAAAGTGGATAATTTCCACTTCTAACCACCACTGTTTCCTCCTCCTTTGCTACTCGTGACGAGTTCTTCTTTCTATGACGAACGTCCACGAGTGGGCAAGCGACGCACAGTGGGTAGAGTCAATGAGAGAGGTCGGACCTGATTTTAAAACTTTAAAAGCGGATATCTTCATTGATATGAAATGTTGATGTTTTAAAAGTAGTTTCATTGGTTTTCTCGTAAAATTTCCTACAAGAGGCACCCCCAAAAAATTAAAATGTTGAAGAAATAAACGTAAAATTTTACAATTGTTGTAAAAAAGTTCATGTCCGACTTATTCCAAAGACTCGTTCCCCTGGGCGGCGGCCTTTAACTCGCCTCGTTCGATGACATGGCGGGTCAAAATCATGCACGTTTTGCTCTTGACTTAAACTTTTAAATTCATCGTCAGTGCGTTCGGGTCGGGCCTCAATGGCACACGATCTGTTTATAATGCCCCGCCCGACAAGGCTGCGCTTTCCGCCGCCAACTGATTTTCGTCCGCTCAGTATTCGGCGCACTCCGCGCATATGTCCGCGAATTATCACACCGGCATCCATCGAGTCGTGCACGTTCGCTCTCGTCCCAGAAATGGAACGGTTGCGATTTTTTCTGGGTACGCTTTCAGGGTTATACTCGGTAAAGTCCGCATACCATAGAGTACAATGGAGTCACAATGTACTGGAGCGCCGATGAAGTCAATCCAGGAACCGGCCATTCCGAGCCCCTTGTCCGCCGGAGAGTGTGAACCAAACGGCATTTCTTAACACGGCAGCTAATAGGAGAATCGCGGGCTGCAAGTTTTTCTTGGGGGATTTAGTAATTTAAATCGACAATTGTTATCTCGAATTTTGGCAAATATGTTGACCATAGTCATGAGAAATTCAAAAGTGTATATTAAAGTTCCGGTTCTTATGAAATAAATTTTATTCCTGAATTTGTTGAGCGATTCCCAGAGCTGGTACCTCGCGTATACAGTATCGAGAGGTTCCAGCACACACACTCAACTAGGTGGGGCTGCCTGCATCTGCGGTACTATCCTAACTTTAAAGGAGAGTTTTGAGATAATTCTACTAGCTTTACGGGGAGGTCCGGGGGAAATTTTTTGAAAAAATAAGTTGCCTTAGGGGCAATTTTGAGCTGTTCTCGCCGATAAATTGATCCAATTCCAATTTGTAATATGGAAAATGTGTCATGCACTTACCAAGCAAAATCCCTCACGTCTCTTGGGAGTGGCCAAGTAGGTTTGTGGAGGACCAGCCCCCTCCGGCCCCCCTATTTCCGCCCAAGAACGTGAGATTGTCTCCTTGGAAGTATGTATTATTGGCCTCACACAGTCACGCATGCATACCTAAATAGTAATAATATTGTATTATCTTTTCTATAACTGACTTTTGGGTTTATTATTGCCTCCTACGCCGCATGTTCTAGCCATAGAGTAAATAGAGTCGTAATGTAAATGGGAGAGCTGGCGCCACTTTTAAGCATTTTCCAGGTCTCGAATCCCGAGACTCGTGTCACTTTTTCCATACATAATCGATTGTTTTCGATACACGCGGACCCAGCAATCCGATATAAACAAACAGAATAGGAATTATTACGTTTTCAACATCGCCGTTTTGGATCGAAAATGGATTGAAAGAGTGACCGAAGCTCTACGCACACCCGGCTTCAACTCGTCGACCAGAACTTGACGTCAGTTCTACCATTTACATTACACTTTATGTACTCTATGGTTATAGCCTAGTAAATTTCTTTGATCCGTTGCTCTCTCTCTCTCTCTCTCTCTGGTCCGCGTTTCTACTCTACCTTATTTTTTAAGATCTGAATTTGCCTTATTTGTCTGAATGGTTAGCATGGAGTTCGTTTTCACAGGTACAATACAAGTGTTTTCTCGGAAATCTAACAATCCTACAAGACCTCTGCCGTGCTACGGAATAACGCCGTATGGACACTCGAGAGTTGTCAAATCACCCTCATTAAAATATTTATTTTTGCGGAAAGTTATGAATATTTTTCCTTGAAATTTTCAGGAACTATAGGTGAAATTGTGAACAACATTATTTGAAAAATTAGAATCAAAATATACGTAAGTTTACCAGGAAATTTGTGTTTTATCAATTAAAATTTGGCAATGCCTGGAGGTTCATACGGCGTTTTTCCTTAGCTCGGCAGACCTGAAGAAAAACCAGCTTCGCATGATCGCCTCCTACGTCTGCTGTCTTTCTCCGCTTTCTTCTTCAAGCGTCTTCAAGACGCGTCGTCATCCCGGTTTCCCTCCTCCCTGCTCCCACCCTCACCCCCTCTCCCGAAATCGAGGCTGGAAGACCTCCTGGAGGAATGCCGATCCACGGAGACGCCATCGACGCCATCCGTCGGCGCGGAGAAAAAAAAAAAAAACGAGTGGAGACGGCGTCGAGCCCGTGTCTCCGGCGCAAGGTTAGCGCGCGACGGCACTTCGACCCTTCGATATATCGAAGTTCGAGTTCCCGCGTGGGGACTTACGGGGGGGCCGGCGTTTCGATCCGCTTACCTGTCGGTGATTGTTGACCTTGCCGGGGACAAGGCGCTCGGCCGCGTGTTTTTCGCAAACCAGTTGAACCGAATCTTTTGAGAGCGCTGCGGTGGGTACGCGCCGGCGCCTTCCAGTCAGTTCGTGACTTTTCCCGCGCAAGTGACCCGGATTTCGAAAGTTCCGCGCTCGGATCCGATTTGTTTTCGATCGCTTCGTATGATTGTCCGACTCGGATCATTTTCCGCCTGATTTCCGGTTCAGTGCGGTGTATTGTCTTTTTTTCCCCCTGTTGGTTTTTCTGCCGTAAGCTTTATGGGCAACTAAATTTTCACCCCTTTCTTGACTTAGAATTAAAAGAAAATTTTTGTTTGTTTGCATGTCCTTGAGGTTACCGAGCACTATTCCCTTAGGACTGACATTCTGTGTTCTTTTCTCTGTGTTGTGTGGGCTTTCGGAGGATTAATAGCCAATGGGTGCTCTCTAACCGATGTATATTTAGAGATGAGATAATTTTGATGTTGTGTATTTTTTTACTCCCGATTGTATCCCTTTTTGTTTACTTTCGATGCGCGTCATCCTTTTTGGAATTGAATTTGTTCTCAGCCGTGCAGTTATAGTTCATTATTTTCTTAATCCTAATTACAGCAATACAACAGATTTTGGTTTATTATTAATTACATTTTAAAAGAAATAAATCGTGGGTTTTTCTTTGAGAAATCTTACTCTGCTCTACCAAAATATTCTTAGTTGAAAGTTACGTTCCTAAGCGAGGGAGGGGAGGGGAGAGAATGAGAGAAAAAATATTTGAGTCAATAAATTGGAACGCAGCGGCCACGTGGGTTTTGCTTTTTAACAAGGGATGCGCTATTAACTCTCACCCCTACCTTTTTTCCCTGCCTTTTCGTCTCGGTACAATGTTTTTGTTCTTTGAGATTTGATAATTAAGTTTAAAAAGTACTATTTTTCTTCTTAAAATACAGATGAGATAATTTCAGTGTATCATGAGACTACTAAACACAGAATCTGACCAGGAAAAGTCACTTTATGATTAAATTGAGCTCCAAAAACAAGAAAATTTCCTTCGCCTCAGAATGTTCTGCATAAATATTAGGCTGAAATTTTTATCGGATTAGGTTCAGCAATGAAAACAACTGTCTTGACCAGGGTCAGAGAAGTGCATAATAAGTTGCACCGCTCTAAAATACCCTCTCTTTTCTCTTTCTTGAGTACTTAAAACTCATTTTGGGTCTTAAAATGTGGGAGTTTGCAGGTTTTTTAAATAGATATTGTTCGTGAATAGAAATACCATACGAAAATGTCAATGACCGTTTTAAAGAAAACCTGTTTTTCAACCATTACTTAACATGTATTGACACTCGTATACACAAATAGGTATACAGGCCATATATGATATTCACCAGAAAACAAGAGCCACCCACACTAAGCTGTCATACCGGTTCATATTTCACGTGTCCGTCAGACTAGTACATTCGTGCCCTGTAGAGAAAATTCTCCTTCACTTTCTTAAAAAAAACTTTTTGTCCGACATTTTTTCCCAAATGAAACATATGTACGCAAATGCATTTCTTTTCTAGAAGAAAAAAAAAGTTTTTAACGTATTCAACCAATTTCAGAAATGAATGGACATATTCCCCAAGATACGTCAGATTATAATGTTATAAAAACATTTTGTATGAAAGAAGTTTAGACCAATGGAATTATTTGCCCTTTAAGCACAGTTTTGTGTTGTTCACAACCAGAAAAGTAGGTAGGACCTGGAATATACTATAAGCCTTGTAAAAGCTATACATTCCGTTTCTTCTTGACGTTGTCGGAATTTTTCTGAGGCGAATGAAATGTAAGGGAAGGTGTTTCAAAAATCAATAACTAACGCAATTTATTTAAAAAATAGCAACGATTAATAAACACAGTGAGCTCTGCATCATCGGGATGCAGGCTGAGTGAGTGATCCGTCCTCTGCGACAAAAACGCGTTTCAGGACTCATAAAGAGTGCGGTCAATTTTAATTTCGCGCCAAAATGGTGAACAGTGTGGAAGACGTTTTTGACGACGCAGAGAACGAGATTGGTGATTCCTCGCCCGTTAGGAATAAAATCGACACCAACATCGATGAGCCGAAATCGAAACCCCAGATCGAATGCAAAGAGTGCAAAAGGTATGATTCTTTCTGTGCTTATGTGACGATAATTTTATTGCATCGAGATCATGTCCAGTCTGAAATGGGCCGTTGATAGGGTCTAGATGAAACAATCGTCCCCTTCCGGGCAAAAAATCACGGTGTCGTTTGCGCCTTGAGGCCATGTTGCCGAGCATCTCAATCTGATTTAATTTTTGACGAAGAAACTAATGTTCAGAGTTGAATAAGTTTCCAAGAATTTCTAAAATTTAAATTGGTTCATGGAATTTTCATTCGCTAAAGTATTACAAGAAGTGTTATGCAAAACATCGATAAAATTAAGCAACATACCCCTCAAGTCCAACTGGTATTTACGATATTTTGTCTTCGGGGTACTTACAATTTTTTAAAAAAAAATTTTTGTCAAAATCAACGCATTGGATAAAAAGACGAGACCTCTTAAAAAAATGGGCGGATGCTTTTTTTGAAAAATGTCAATGGCCAATACCAACGCTTTCGTTATATTGATTGAAATGTTTGAAAAACAACATTTTGAAAATGCTGGCAAAATTCACTGCATAAGAATGTCCTTTGTCCGTTGAAGTGAGTGTACATTTGGACGACGGACAAAGATTTCTGCCGTGCCCATCAGTCCTGTTGCCATTTTGGAAGAGAACAATCTGAGGGCCAAGAACACAGAGAATTTGAGTTTTTCTTGTCACCATGACCAAATGCAATTTTTTCGTAAAGACTTTTGCAGTAAGCGATTCTCGAAAAGTTCGCAGGAATGGATTATGTGCGCCACAATTATAGTAGTTCATGTTTGCGTCTCATTTCTTGAAAAATATATTGCTCTTTTTTTTAAGAATATGAATGTCTCATTGAAATTCACTGAACCGGTTACATACGCTTATGAAAGCTAATAGTACTCTTGAGATACACGCTCTGAGCTTTAAAGTCAAGAACCGATTAAAGTGACCGCCGTTAGGTACACTAAATACTCACACGCTGAGTAGTTTAATCTCACTCGCTACTCAAGAGTCATTGATGAGATTGAGACTCATAACGTCAAGAACATGTTTTTGCAAAATCTTGGAAACGCATGGAACAAAACACGTCAGACTAATGATTCCTTACTTTCAGTTTAAACTTCAATCGGGAGGAGATACTTTAAGTGAAGCAAAGCAGAAATGTGACGTGATACAACAGAGATGGTACAGCGATAACGTAACTTATAATTTGACAAGTAGTAATCTTCCCTTTGTACTTCATGGCAATGTTTCATGAGCCACGGAACGCAGAGCGAGAAGACAATCAAAGCGAACTGGGACCGAAAAAGTAACCAGGAACATCGGTTGATCAGTAATTAAATCGCCCCAGTTGCTTGAATGAGGTGAACCAGTCCAAAATTATCCTACATGTCAGCCGACCCTTGGATTCATGCCGGGGCCCATTTCTGCCCCCCCCCCCCCCCCCCCCCNTGAAAGCAATCAAGAGGGTCTGGGCTCTCTTTGGCTCGAAAATGTCCATACAGAAGGTTATTTTTGAAAATTATGAATGATTTTTATGCGTAAACCGTGAGATATTCTTGGTGGCAGATCCCGCCTACCTTTTGGGAACAATCCTGACATCTCCCTGGACATAAAGAAACTAATTGGGAGGCTGTTAGTGTTAGGTGATCATTGCAAGTAAATTATGACATTGGCGTTCTCCCAGCTATTGCATTCGAAGGAATAATAAACGAAAACCGAAATTTATGTTCTTGTCTCGTGGCTGACAAGATTTTTTATAGGCGACGTTCTCGACAAAAGGTCAAAATGTTTCGGTTATTGACGCGGCCGCGCAGCAATTTCACTAACGATTGTCTCCAACTTTTCGTAATCGACTTTTTCGTACTTGATCCGTGGCAACAGCTTCGCTGATTCCTATGGCTGATATGGTTTATCCTAAGACTTTTTTTTTGCCGAATATTCACACGGGCAGGTGCGGAATGGATGCGAAAGTCCGTGGCAACTTTGCATCATTCTCGCAAATACTCGATTATCAAAACAGGACACAAGGTACTGACATCATTAAAATAAATAACATAATTATTTAGTTTGCATCAGATACCTCATGAAATTCACAGGAAGCAGAAAAGGTATTACTGTATCTTGATCGATGAGAAAAAAGAATTAGACCACGAGATCATTATAACGGTGTGAAATTGTTGCACCTTTCAACAAAGGGGCCGAAAGTCAATTTCGAGGGACACCGCGTTTCATTGCCAAAACTCATCGTTAGGTCTTCATCGACGCTATGGAGTCATTTTCCCTCGAGTAAAAGTGTTTTCTCAAGTCATACACGGAAGATACGGATAGTGTGTTTGCTGGCCAATGAGACGGTCGGATAAATCAATGGTGTCTTGGCAATTTCTAATCCTACGAGTAACTTAAAAAATCGCTCATGATGATCAATTCTTGAAGAGTTTGCTTGATGCTTAAATTGGTAAAATCAATAAGCATGGATGAATGAACTATTTTGCAGTTAACGCTACTATTTTCAGCTCACTAGAAACAGCGTTTATGCCATTGGTTTCCCTATGCAGATGGGCGCTTTCATGAATGAGCCAAAAATAGTAGTTCCTATTACAAAATGTAGTCCAATCGTCGATAGCGTACATAATATGGGGGACCCAGAGACTGCATCGGTGCAGGGTCGTTTAACACCATCTCTTCACGCTGTATATAGCATGGAACTTAACATTATGCAATCGGTACAGTTACAATCGATGCATGTTTAGAGTCATCGATGGTCTTATTTTCAGATCCAACTTGCGACGTCAGAAAACGGCCTCAAAGCTTTTCCATGTTTAAACCACCTCTGTTCACCCGTGCGTGTGAAAAATCAGAATCCGTCCTTATGTTAGGCGTATCCACGTAACGATAACGAGGACGGTGAGATGCCTTAATTCAACGCTTTGGTTAGTTTGAGCCTGTCAGCTGTTTTTCTTTCCCACGCGACAGTTGAGCTTTCCGAAAGTTTCAATATGGTATATATAGAATGCTTCAATTTGTGGCGATTTAATCCGGACCCGTGGTTGTTTTTCGAAAATGCCCACCCCTTCAAATCATGCGCTGAAAGAACCTCACGCCTGATTATTCTCCCCCTCAGGTGCGTTTCCCTGCTTTAACTTTTCAGAATAGCTTTAATGCTATGCCGAAGTTTATAAACTTGTGTCGCGGGCGACTTGCGGGCATGCTAGTGGTGTGCAAACTTGTTTCTCGTAAATCAATTACAGCGTTGTTCATGTATTTTCTCAATCTGGAAACCACTGTTGCCAATTTACTAACAGCGAAGTGAGTCGAAAAAACGAGTTGGTAGACAAGGGATGCTGATGAGAGCCATCCAATGGATTGCATTTTGCGAAAAGGAACCAAGAGCATTCCAATGTTGCCAGGATTGTGCAAATTACATTCGTTTAAAACAAAGTGCTGGAATCATGCGGGAAATTAAATTTACAAAGGTAATTTTCGTCTTGAATTTATAGTTTATTGGGAGTAAAGATAAAACTTGTTCAGGGTGATTAGTTTATATTTGCAAGGTAAAAAAAGTTGTACAATCTCAGTGACATTGGAATGCTCTTGGTTCATTTTTGCAAAATGCAACCCAAATATAGTATAACGTTGAGTAAACCACTCGTACTTACAATTGGTCTTTTTGAAAAGCGCTTATCTATCTAATGATTTCATTTAGTCGTATTGAGTCGTATACAAGGATAGAGTTATACATGAGAAGACCAGCTGCACATCGAATAATGAAAATTAAAATAGCCTTTTGGGTGGCATTGAATAGATAGAACGTTTTACTTTCCATATTCTTGCAGATGCGACCTATGTTGACCGTAAAAGCGGGAATTACATGAGGCAAATGGGTCATATCTACGAGAGGATAAGAAACACCCAAGTGACCATAGAGATGATGGAGTCTTCGGTGGGTTTTCGAGTGCTTGACTCCAACTCCCGAGCCTCTTGTGCAGTCGTTGCAGTAAGAGGAGTCGTCTCCTCAGTGAGAGAAGAAAATCCTATTATTCGTATTCTAAGAATTGAGCATGATCGTTATTTTCATAGTATACAAGGAAAGGTGTTTCTAAATTCTCAAATATCTAATGAAAAACCGTACTTCTATAACGTGCATTTGGACGTATTTCTCTCAAATGGAACTATGTGCATCATGACATAAGCCCTGTTATGCGCATATGCTTATGAGTCTCATGGCTCATGTCTTGATGCACATACTTCCGTTTGGTAGAAATACGTCCATTTGAAGAACGCCGAGACCTCACCATCATCATCATCTCAAATTTCGCGCCGATTTTTCGCGGAATGTTTCACGAATCGGAAGCCTTATTTATCCGATGTACATTCACAGATCTCCCCCCCCTCCCCCCCCCTCCAAGTTATTATCGTCATCTCAAATTTTACGTGAACTTTTGCGGAAGTTTTCGCGGAAAATAGGTGCGGATCAGTGAGGTATTTTTCCAACGCTCAACGTGCATTCAATAAACTCCAAGTTTGGTCATCTTATCGTAGATTTCGTGGAAATTTTTGGCGGGAAATTCGCGAATCGGCAGCATGGAGGTTGCGTTTCGATTACGGATCGAGCGTTCGGCGAGACGGGAGAAATATGCATGTTGCTTGTCTGCAAAATGAAGGCGCACCCCGACCCCGGCGCGGGGCGGCGGGCGGCGTCTGGAAGTGTTGTCTCTCTCGGGGTTAAAAAGAATGCTTCCGGTGTTGGCGTCTTCCTCGACCTTGCTTCCGCCGCCTCTCACTTCTCCACCGAGACAGGATTAAGTTTTATTGTTTGTTCATTTTTATCTCTCTTCGCCGTACGCTGCACCGAGCTTAGCCCCCTGACACTCTGACACCCCGCGAAAAAACGGGGGACCCAGATCAAGATTGTTGCCCGCAATATGCACTATGTTCTAGTTCGCGGAAGCTCTCTCAGTCGTGAAACATGGGGTTGGTTTCTGAGACCGACCTCGCAAGATTAATCGG